CCCCCTCAGAAATCGTGGGGGTATGGGGTAGGGTTCGCATCAAGCTAGCCAGCTCGAACGAGCCAGAGGGCTCCGCCCATTCCCACCCGCCCCCCCGCAACATAAGAAGCAAGTGCGTCGCGTCCGACGCCTGTCGATCATCTTTTATCTCGGGCGGCTACTAGACGGTCAGCGCGCGACATGAGCTGCGTCCTATTCTTGCCGCGAATTGAAAAACGTCGACGAGAAACAAGACCGCGCGCGATGTACGCCGCGCCCCGCTCCGACCTCTCATGTTGCATCGTCGGCGACAGCATGTCCAGCGCGCGAAGTGCGCCGCGTCTCATTCCAGCCACGCGTGTTCCACCGCCAATCGTTTCGCTCCTGCCGCGCATGGATGAGGGGGAGGAGGAGGAGGAGGAGGAGGAGGAGGAGGAGGAGAAGGAGGAGGAGGATGAGGAGAAGGAGGGGAGGGAGAGAGGGATGGAGGGAGAAACTGAGGAGGAAGAGGAGGATGCCTCTTGGGAATTCGCGGGGCGTCCCATTCCCGCTACGCGATCCGCAGTGCCGACGAGGAGAAAGTACATGCTGGCAAGAAAATCGTCGACGCTGCGGTGTTTTTTGACAGGTAGGACGGGGGGTCCCGCGTATGGTTGGCCAGGCGTCCGCGCGCGATGTGCGCCGCGTCCCATTCCTGCTAAACTTTTCGCAACGTCGACGGCAAGAAAATCCACGTTGACGAGAAACACACAATTGATGTTGTATTGTTTTTTTTTGGTGGGTAGGGCGCGACCACCCGCTTAGGGTTACCCAAGCGATGTTCATTCCGTCCCATTCCTGCTACACTTTTCGCAACTCGACGACATGTTGGCGAGACGACCATTGAGTTTGTATTGTTATTTGACAATTCGGACGGCGGGGTTGCTATCGGCCAGCAAGGTGGGAATGTGGGGGTGTTTAATCATAGGAAGTACGGATGTGGTCCCCTAGAGGAGGGAGGGCTCCCCCAGGGATCAGAGGAAGGGCCTCGGGAGGCCCAAAACGTAGAGGTCTTCCCCTCGGGGCTCGAATCATTAAATATCAGGTTGATGATGGTGGCGTCCCTTCTCCCAGACTGCTGGGGCCCGTGAGGCCAAAAGTAAAACAAAACCTGGGGACGACTTTCCCTCAGGACTTCCCTGGTAATGATGATGGCGGCTCTGATACTGATACTGATGTTGACGATGATGTTGTTGATGGGGATGCTGATTACGATGATGACGCGTCTGAGTATGGTAATGCTGAAGAGATGCCGATGATGATACTGACGTTTTTGGTGATGTTGATAAGATTAATCAGGATGCTGGTAACAATGATGATGACGATGGTGATGTTGATGCTGCGTATGATGATTATGACCCTGATTATGATTATGACGATGATGATGCTGATGGTGGTGCTGATGATGATGATGATGATGATGGTGGTCGTGGTGGTGGTGGTAATTGTGGTGATGGTGGCGGTGGTACTGAGTTCTACGGGTTCGGGGGCGGTGCTGCACTGAGCCCGCTGGGTCTACACTCAGTGCACGCCCAGGGAGCCGACGGGCTCCCCCAGCGCCAGGCGACTATGATGGTATTGGTGGTGGTATTGGTCATGATGGTGATGAGGACGATGATGAGAATGGTGATAAGGAGGGAGAGGAGGAAAAGGAGGAGGAGCAAGATGATGACGATGATGATGATGCTGATGGTGGTGATGATGTTGACGATGACGATGGTGATGATGATGATGATGATGATGATGATGATGATGATGTTGGTGATGATGTTGACGATGACGATGATGATGCTGATGATGGTGATGATGGTGATGATGATGATTAAAATGATTACGAATAGCCAGGCGAATTTACAACGCATGCCTGGCGACGGTCAAGTACGTTGATGTCGTCATGGACTCGTGGGCAAACGCACCGCTTGGGTCGGTGGAAAATTCGAACCTGCTCTGGGGAGCGATGGAAAATCCGCACTCGCTCGTTCGAACGAGACGAACTCCATGGACTCAGCAATCGCTTTGGCGCGATTGAAAATTACTCGACGAATCGAAACGACAGCAGCACCACACCCGCTCGGAGATGGCTTTCGACGTCGTTTGGGGGACTCCGCCACCACAGCAAAAATTGGGCATTCGCCTCGGACGGAGTAAACAAGTTATTAGTCCCCGTGCTTGCCAGGAAAGAAGCTTAGCTGCAGACGCAACAGGTCGTGGTAGAAGACCCACCGTCACCTTTCGGCTCCAACTTTGCTAACTTGATGAACTCAGCCGGGGTTGTAATGCCTACACCTTGTGGAGCGCGAGTCTTGGCCAAGTCCTTGCCCGTCATCTTCCCATCCACCATGATCTCCAGGCCAATGCAACCCTGTGCCCAAGTTATGACTTTGTCGATCGTCGGTGTCGGCATCGAGAGGATCTCAGCCATGCCCTTTGCAAAACAAAGGCCCGTGGGAACATCCTCGGCAAGGTAGCGGTAGTTCAGGTCGGGCATATAGTTGCCCGCCTCGCCCTTGCAGGGGTGCGTGAGCCCGTCGTAGGCCTTATTTGTGTTCATGCAGCCCTTCAGCGTGGAGGTGTCGGTCATCTGGCCGTCGTAGCAGTCTAAATACCACTGCTTCAGGGTGCAGGCATCCTTCAAGCACAAGCCCGGCACCATCTTCTCCATCTTGCGGCAGACGGCCTGTACCTCGTCCGTCATGCCGAGCAGGACCGTCTCGGTGAAGTCGTCGACGCCCTGGTAGAAAAGCGGCTTTTCTGCCTTCGCCTTGCCGTCCCAAGACTCGGGCCCCCAGCGGCCATACATCACTCCTGGGTGCACGATCATGCCTGGGTTTCGGAGGCTGATGCCCAGGTTGGTGGGGCTCTCGACGATGAACGGGTAGACACCCAACAGCCCCTGAAGTGTGCCGAGTGCCTTCGCCTTGGCAGACGGTGGAGTCACAGCTGCAAGGATTGTGTTTTTCGTGCCAAGGATTGTCGCCTTTCGGCCCCACTCGGAAAAGCGGCAGGCCCATGGCAGCGTCTCGAAGCCGACAAAAACCATGTCCTTGGCCTTTTCTCCCATCTTTGAAGAAAAAAGGATGTCTCCGCCCGACCGCGCTGGCATGACGCCGACTATGGTTCCAGGCTTCATGTAAGGAGCGAACTTCTCAAAATACTCACCATGAGCAAAAGATGGCACGGCTAGGATGATGACGTCTGCATCCTTGGCCACTGACGGATCATTTGTGATGCCAGCAGGCTTCGAGACAATCTTGTTGACAGCTGCGCCTTCAACCGTGAGCTCGAACGAATCGTTCCCAAGCGCAGTCTTCCACTTCTCGGCCTCGTCTGCGAAGAAGGACACTGCAATCGTCTTGTACCTCACCGAGAGCAGGCCGGTCACCACTTGCGCGGCATTGCCACCGCCGCAGACAAGGACACAGGTGTCCGTGACGTCGCTCATTCTGTCAGGCTGAGCTTCTGGTGGTCGGGAACCCCTCCGTATTCAACTGAACAGAACTAACCTGTCCTGGCCTTGGCCCAAAACTGCTCGAGCCAAAATGGCTACGGGGGGGAGAAGAAACTTCGGTGGAAACTCATGCGAGCCTCCCGTCCCATCTTGTCGGCTCTTGTGCATCGACGCTCGTCGACGCTAAATCGACGCTGATCGACGCTCATCCGACGCTAATCGACACTAACCGACGCTAAATCGGCTCTGTCTCATCCACTCCCAGACGCCAGTCGACGCTATAATAAAGTCGGGGTTGATTTGAGAGGACACGCGAGGGGACACAAGACCCTTCCGAGGGCCACATTGGCATATGAATGTAAGAAGGCATGTGTCGCGAAGCTCAGGACACAAGGGTACCCTTGAGTTGGCATGGTCGACCTACTATTTGGTCGGGAATATCCTCCTTCAAGCGGATTTTGGACGAAGAGTCAAAAAGACTTCAAAACGGATTCAAACACAGACAAAAATGATAGACACATCGTCCCCACGCGATTGTCGGCTATACGCAAGAGTGACCCTGGGTAAGAGTGACCCTTGGTGCGCGGCTTTGGGGGGGCCGTGGGGAGGCCAAATCCAGGCGCGCTAGCCGCTGCTACCGCTTCGCGTCCCGCCATCTGGGGGTCCGTCTGTGCCCGCACCAGAGGCCACTCCGGCGAAAGGTCACTCTTATACATCTAGTCGAGACTTCTTCTACTGTTTTTGAAGTCTCCTCCTGCAGAGGGACATGCCCGACTGAAACCTACTCCAGATTTCGTAATAAAGGGAGGGGGGTCTCATTTCGGGGGGGGGTCTCTTCCAGGCTACCTTGGAGGGCCTGGGGGGGTCTGGGGACGATGTTTTGGAGGGTTCTCCCACGGGGGGGGTCTAAAACTTCTCGTCTGGGAGGGGGTCTCAACCCTCGAGGGTTGAGACCCCCTCCCTTTTATTACGAAATCTGGAGTACGAGTCGGCCTCGACTGCAGCCAGCACCCCGAGGGCACGCGGAGGCTCCCCGAAGCAGACGCCCAGCCCGGGCCTGGCCCTCGGGGCACGGGCCCGCGCCGGGCACCCCCGTCGCGCCGCCCGCGAGGAGCAGCGCGCGGGCAGCGGACGGGGGGACCCTCACTGAAGGGGCCCCGGGACACACAGATACACACACACAAGTAATAAAAGGGTTCCCCGTATTTTCCCACATCTTCTGGCTTTCTGTCTTCCCCCCCACTTCCCATATTTGGGCGCCCGAGTTATCCGGGGCAACTCGGGTCCGGGGTAACTCGGGCTTGCATTCCCGAAAAACGAACCCGAGTTAGCCCTGACCCGACTTACCCCTGATATTTCGGGGCTCTGACCATATCTTCTTATATTTCCTGGGGAATCGACGACGAATTGTGTCTGTGTCTGGGGCACCACGGAGCGGACCGGCCGGCCTGCAGATGGCGGAGGAGAGGGAGGGCAGGGCGGCCGCCCCTGAGGAGGGGAGAGGAGGGCGAGCACTCGGGGCCGCCCAGACAGAGCCTGCTCCCGTACATGGACAATAGATTCGAACCCTTACACATTTGAGGGAGATTCTAAATCACCCCCGCGCCCCCGACATCAATGTTGATCTCAGTAAAGGCGGTGCCTGGGGGTTCGAGAATAGTTCTGCCCACTCACGCCCCCCCCCCCGTCGCCACGCCATGAATATGAATTTCGGGGGTCTGGGGGGCATCTTGGGCCACAGGGCTCGAATATAATGTCCCCGGGGAGGGGCCCAGAGCCCCGGGCGATCACAGCGTCGGGCGTCCGGGGAGGGGCTCAGAGCCCCGGGCGGCCACAGGGCTCGAATATAATGTCACGAAGAAGACTCGGTCCCCGGGGAGGGGCCCAGAGCCCCGGGCGATCACGGCGTCGGGCGTCCGGGGAGGCGGGCGGGCCGTCCGCGGCCCCGGGGCCGCCCCCCGCGCGAGCTGGGTCGGCGGGTGAAGTGCGCGGAGAGATGCCGACTCGAGGCCGGCGCGGAAGCGCGAGGCTCACAGCAGAGGAGAGCAGGATGAGACAAGGGTGACGTTTTTGCCTTTTTCGCCCCCGAGGGGCCTCCTCGTCGCCACGGCTGGACGCAGCGTGAAAAATCTGTGCATTTGGACCCCGGGAGGGGTCCGTGGACCGATTTTGAGCCGATTTGGCCACCGTTGTCTCGCGGCCGTTGTCTCACGTTGCCCTCCTCCGATCACACTGCACCACGTCGCAAGCAAAGGTCGTGCATGACGCACCCGTGAGGACTCCCAGGCTTGTGACCTGCTGGGGTCACAGAGCGAAGCGGTGCTGAATGGTATGGAGCAAACTGGCTGTCGGTAGCGATAGCTCGGTTTCTTCCTGGACAGACGATCCGGATCGATTTCTGTGGCTTTCGACGTCAAACAGCACACCTGCATCGCCATCTATCAGAAGCATCATCGAGCTCAAATTGAATTTGAAACTACACGGCTCGAGGCGGTAACTCAGTTTGAGCTCGATTTTGAAGGGCGCGCGTCGGTTCGGACGAAAGTTGAATTCGACCCGCCTCGTGCCCGTCAAGTTCGAATCCAAATCGAGTTCGAACCTGCAGGGCTCGGAGCGGTTCCAGCTGAATGTGAGATCGAACTCGAAGGGTTCGCGGTGGTTCGACCTCCAATTTAATAAAAACCACCCCGAGCCCTGCAAGTGCGTCCGAGGGGGGAGCCGCAATCGACTACCCCCAAGAGCCCCCCAAGAGGCCCTGGGGGCCTCCAAAACGCCGCCAAGGAACCCCAAGAGACTCCCAAGAGGTCCCCAAGAGGCCCCCAAGAGGCCCTAAAGAGGGCTCCAGGGCCGGCGGCATGAGCGAAGCGATTCAATAAAAACCACCCCGAGCCCTGCAAGTGCGCCCTCAAGCTGAGCTCGAGCCTGCAGGGCTCGATGCGGCTCGAATTATGCGGTTCGAATTCAGTGCGAATTCGAGCTCGAAGGGCCCGCGTCGGTTCGCACCGAAATTTGAACTCGAGCCGCCCTGTGCGCTTCAAGTTCGAACTCGAATCGAATCCGAACCTGCAGGAATCGAGGAGGTTCGTACTCGGCTTGATTTCGGACTTGAAGGGCGCGCGTCTTTTCGAGCTGGGAATGAAATCGAGACGCCTCGGGCCCCTCACGCTCGAGCTCGACTTGAATGCGTACCTGCAGGATTCGAGGCGGATCGAGGTAAGTCTGAATTTGGAATTGAAGTGCTCGCGTGGGGTCGACATCGAATTGAGTCAGATACGCCTCGGGCCCTTCAAGTTGGAACGCAAATTGAATTCGAACCTGCAGGGCTCGAGGCGGTACGGACTCAAATCGAGTTCGAATCTGCATGGTACGGGCCAGTTCGAACTCACTTTGACTTCGGCCTTGAAGGGCTCGCATCGGTTCGAACTAAAATTGAATTCGAACCACCTCGGCCCCTTCTACTTCAAACTCAAGACGAGCTCGAACCTGCAAGGCCCGAGGCGGTTCGAACTCAAATTGACTTCGAACTTGAAGGGCCCGCGTCGGTTCGAAGTACAACTTAGGTCGAACCGCCCCGGGCCCTTCAAGTTCGAACCCAAATGGAGTTCAGCCCTGTAGGAGTCGAGGCGGTTCGATCTCAATTTCAATTCGCCCTTGAACGGATCGCGCCCGTTCGAACTCAAAATGAATTCGAACCGCCACGGGTCGTCCAAATTCGAATTCAAATTGAGTCGGAACTTGACGAGCTCGGGGCGGTTCGAAGTCAACTTGAGTTCGGACTTGAAGGGCGCGTGCCGATTCGAACTCGAATTGAGTTCGATCCGCCCTGGGCCCCTCGAGCTCGAACTCTGTTTGATTCCGAACCCGCGGTGCCCGAGAATGGCATGGAGCAAGCTGGCTGTCGGTAGCGCCATCTCTGTTCGGACAGACGAACCGGCCGATTTCGATGGGCTTCGACGTCAAGAGGCACACCTGCACCACCATCCAGCAGCAGCATCACCGAGCGCACATGGCGCTCGGGCCCGCAGGGCTCGCCGCGGCTGGAACTCCATGCGCGTTCGAACTTACAGGGCTTGTGGCGCTTCGGCTTCCGCTCGAGTTCGAACCAACGTGGCCTGGGGCGGCTCAACCTTCCTGTGAGTCCGAGCGTGCAGGGCTCGGGGCGGCCAGAACTCAATTTGCGTTCGGACCTGCAGGGCTCGAGGCGCATCGAACTCGATGTGAGTTCGGACCTGCAGGGCCCGAGGCAGATCGAACTCAATTTGAATTCGAACCTGCAGGGCTCGAGGCGGTACGGACTCAAATTGAGTTCGAGCCTACAGGGCTCGAGGAGCGTCGAACACATATGTATAACCATGCCGACATCATTAGATCGATATAATGTTCAAAGGAGCGAACGCAACCGCAACGCTTCACCCGACTCGGCCTCGACCGCTGTGCGAATCAAAAGGTAGCCAGCCAAACCGGGAGCACCACACGAGCCGACCTGCGATAAGTAAACTCACGTATTGAACCGTGGCCTGAGGATGAGCGAGCGCGCCGCATGCGAAAGAAGAGGGAGAAACGATAGACCTGACGCCACCGCAAATCGAATACTGCACGGACAAAAATGAATATCCACGATCGATCGATCTAATGCAGCGCGCCGCCGCTGCATTCTGTCGATAGGCAGTGAGTCAGATCCGAGGCCAATCGCAAACCAAAAGCTGCACCCTTCCCTTCCCCCGACCTCCTTCATCACCGGACGGATGGTCCTTCTGGTATGTGCAAGTGCAGAGGGAGGAATGCAACGGCATTCGAGCTGAACTGCTGGAATGGTATCCTGTCCTTGTGGCGACACACCTTCCGAAGAGAGCCACATAACGCGAGAGAGAGAGAGAGAGAACACAACTCAAGGTGCGCGATTCTAACAGGGCGGAATAACGAGAATCGCCTCGGCCCGAAGCCAACATTTCCCAACCTCTCTGCCCCCAACGCCCCCCTCCACCCCTCAAGCGGGAAGCAAGCCTGCTGCGTTGTCATCGATGCTCTGGTCTTCACCCTTCCTCTGGCCGTGCTGCCAGGCATCCTGGCGACCCCCGAGCGCGTCCACTGCAACCGCCTGATCCGAGATCGCAGGGTCGGTGGTGATACTGATGCGGTCGCCCAAT